AGGACGGCTCATCCACTCCACCAGGAGGAGGGTCCTGGAGGGGCGGCTCCAGGCCATGAGGCTTCTGGAAGGGAGATGCCTGACTGAGCCCTGAAGGGTGAGTAGGATGCAGCCAGGTTAGAAGGAAGGGTTCAGCAGGCTGCAGAGAGGGCTCTATGGACTCACGGAGCTTGCCACCGGGGGTCCAGGGGCCCCTGGAGAACAATAGGAGGGGGCATGCCTGGAAGGAGGGATGGCATGAGGTCAAAATCTGCATCCACTCTCGGGTGGTGGAAAGTAACGTAACCAAATGGTCAGGAGTGTGGTGGGCGCTGGAGGGCACTGGCTGGGGCAGGTCAAAGACTCTTTGAGGTACCAAAACCTCCCACCAGATGGCGCTCCCTGTAGCATAAACTTGGTAACAAAGTGGCCCACGACCCTCTAATTTGCCTGCAACCCCAGAGGGTCTGTTGCTTGGCAGCAGGCTCAGGAGCAAAGGGCCACGTGGCTGGGTCAGCCTCAGGTACAGGTTAAAACTCCAGTCGGCTCCTGCTGTGCCTGAGAGGCTTGTTTGCTGGTTACACTGACCAGACCTGACCCCTGAACCATAACCCACAGAGACCCACTGGCCACCTGCTGGGAAACCAAATCCATCAGACCCCTTCCACGTAGGAGGGGACACCACATCGTCCTCCCTAGAATAGATACAGAGCTGACAGTCATGTCAGAGCCCCCCACTGCCCGCATCACCATCTGTGGGCTTCTGGAACACTTCAGATTATGCCACAAGGTCCATGCGATGGGCCCTCGACTCAGAAGCCAGTCCTAGTGACAGCAGCAAGACAACAGTCTGGCCCAGGATGCCCAGGCTGCCGGCCCCTCTGTCAGGCCCAGAGAAGAACAGCAAGGCCTGAGGTACACCCTGGACCCCAGAGCCAGCCAGGTGCATCTTGCAGCGGCAGAGGTTCCTGTGAACCAGGGACAAATGCATGTAGCTGACTTGGCTCTGGCCAGAAAACACAGGCCCGGGAGCCAAGTACACAGGTGAGCAGAGGGTCTAACCCTGGTATCGCTAAAGAGCCTCTCAAACATTTTCTTCCAGTCCCCACTGTTCTCGGGGCCCCTGGGAGGGACTTGTCTACCTGGTCACAGTGAGTTCCTTCACCCTGGAAGCTGAGAACACTGCTTGGATTTTCCGGCCTCCTTATGCTGCGGGGGAGCAGGAAGAGAAGGGCCCGGTGTTGGGAGAATGGTGTGTGAGTAAGCCTGGGTTTGAATCCCAGCTCTGCCACTGACTTCACCTGTGTCTCAGTTTCCTCATTTGTAAAATGGAGATGGACACTGACATAGCACCTGGCATTCCATCAGTGTTAGCCATTATGATTACCTCCCTGTCTAACTATCATGGGGACATGGAGTAGGCAATGGGAACCGAGAGGGGGCGGGGTTCAGCCCAGGGGTCCCCCTTATTCTCCAGTGTCTAGCAGTAAACGTTAACAGACATCACTACATCCTCTACAGAAATGATCCCCAGGGCCCAGGCCCTTTGGAAATGGAGGTCAGTGTTGCTCCAAAAGGGAAAGTCCTCAGCCAGCTAAGACCTGGCTGGGGGGGGGAGGGTCTGAGGATCAGACATGAAGTAGCTCTCATACTCTGGCTCCATCAACCAGCTCCTGGCTGGATGTCAGCCCTGAGCCTTCCTCTTCAGCCCCAGGACCACTCTCGTCCCAGACCCTGTGTCCATGAAGGCGGTCCATCTGCTGGGCCTGCCAGCCCTCCTGCCACGACTTCTCCAGCCCGCTTCTGCCTGCACCCCCAGCAACGCCATGGTCCTGCGCCCCGGGAGGGGTTCCTGGCATGGCACTACAGTACTCCGTGACCCCCTGCTCACCCCCTGTTTCATCACCTCGTCACCTCGTCACCATCACTCTGCACACCATAGCCACTCATTCTGGTTTCCTCCCGCTGTGCCCTCTCTGTGGAACTCACAGCCCTGCCTTCGCCTCTCTCTGGTCTGTCCTGTAACCGTCAGCCCTGTGTAAATGAGGGGTCCCATGCCTGCGTCCCACACCCAAGGGGTCGCCTTCTTCATAATTCTGGTTTTATCACAGAACATCCCAGCTTTCCCTCCCGGCATTTTGCAGGACACACCAGTCTGTGCATCTGCACCAGTGTCTGCAAAGTGCTCACACACATGCACCCCTCAGGGACTGAGTGGGTCGGCCTCATGCAGCAGGGTCAGGGGCGCTGACCACCAAGGGCTCAACACCAACTCCCGACTAACACACAGCGAGGGCCGATGGAGGCTTCTTTTGTTAACAGACAGCAAACTTATTCTCGAACAAGAAGCCAGACACTGAGCTATTTAGAGGGTTCACCAAAAGGCTGCGAACCCCACACAGGAGGTCCTGCAACCAGCATGAGACTTCACTTCCGGGGCATGCAAACTGGGGCTCTCTAAATCTGGGGGGTGCTGGCCAAGGTCACGGGCTCCCGTGAGAGGGGAAAGGGCTCTGCAGGGTCCAGAGAGGAGGCTGGACTCCCCGGGGCCTGGCCTCCACTGCAGCTTGTCCCCGGTCCCTGGGATCTGCCCTCAGCCTGTCAGCCCGTCCACGCGGCTGCTTGTAGGGACTCGTTTTAATTAATGCCAGAACTGGGCCAACCACCGGGGCCCTGACACTTGTTTGCAGGTCATCTCCTCCTAACAGGCTCGCCCTGGGAGGGGATTTGTCACTAATTGAAGCAGAGATCAGTTAATGAGGCCGCGGGGCCTGGGGTTCCAGAGAACAAGGGAAAGGAAAATAAAATAAAGCCTCTTTCTTCGGAGGTTTTGTGATTTACACACACAAAAGAGAAGCAAGCGAGCTGCAGATTTTCCAAGTCAGAAACTCCACTCCATCTGCCGGAGTTAGACCCTCGCTGTGTGAAGACGGCGGGCGGAGGGCCGCCGCTGCTGGGACTCGGATCAGAGCGAGAGGGGCCTCCCGAGGCCGCAATCAATCAGCGGCCTAATTAACAAGTATTTATGGAGCAGTGCTGCATGCCCCCCTCTGGGGAGAAGACACAGGGCCGTCCCTTTTAACTGGTAATCCAGCGGAACAATGAGAGGACAGGGCATGAGGTATCACCAAGCGTGTGTGAAGGACAGAAGTTTCTAGAACTTGTGGCGGGGGAGAACGGTGTGGGCTGGCGTGGTTGGGGAAAGCCTCTTCGAGGTCTCTGCAGCTGGGTGGGGAGGAGGAAGGAGGCACAGGCACAGCCCCTGGGAGCCAGGGCAGCCCAGGGTGAGGTCCCCAGGCCTTAGGGTGAGACCCTGCCTCTGAGAGCCCTGAAGGACCCCAAGTCCCTGAGAACACTGGGAGGCGTGGGCCTCAGAATCTCCTCCCCACACCTGGGCTGCCTCTGGCCCTGGGAAGTGGTTGGGATGGAAGGACTGAGGGCCCCTGGGGTGAGACAGCAGGACTGGGGTGCAGGGCCTGGGCCAGGCCTGCAGGAGGAGGACGTCCCCCAGGACAGTGATCCTCCCTCTCAAGCCCTCCCCAACCAGAGCCACTCAGTATTCTCCCACGTGGCTTCTCCTTCCAGCGCCACCCCACCTCACCCTTCAGTCTCAGAGAGGGAAAGCGGGATTTTCAAGCTTTGAAACGAGGCTGAGCCATCGGCTCCTCTTGTCATCAGGGAAGAGGAGGTGACATCGGCAAGAAAGAGGTGGCAGAGCCCCTTCCTGTCTCTCACAAGAGCCCTGACCTTGGCCAGCAACCCCCCACAGAATCAGGGATCCCCGATCTGTATGACCCCAGCCAAATGGTCTCATCTAGGTCACAGGTGGGTTAGCAGCCTCCTGGCCAGCCACCGGGGCAGAGTTGGCAATGCCTTGGGATGAGACATAAGGATTCAGGGAAGGAGAACACTCTTGGTCATGAAATGGGGACACCCCCCCCCACACACACACACACACAACAGCTCTTTGGAGATGAGCTGGTCTACGTGGGAGTGGAGTAAATGAGGCCATTTCAGAAGAGCCCCAATCCCGACTGTAGGAGAACAGTGAAGTAGATGATGGGTCAATGCCTTTTCATGAACTATTGTGATATTTATTTAATGACATGGGAGGGGATGAGGAAATTGGGTTTTGCAAAAAGATTATCATATGTGGATGTTTTTTATTTGAATTTTCTAATTTCCCTCCTACAGTTGCATATATTTATTGCTTAATGAATAAAATAACGAAGTTGTGAAGTGACAGTTGCCCCGGAGTCAGCCACAGGAGAGCACCCAGCCAGGGTAGAGAGAGGACCAGACAGGAGCAAGGGTGCGCTCCCGGGGGGGGGATCCAGGCAGGGGGCCATGTAGCCAAGGTCCTGGGAGCGTGAGCTTCCGTTCTGGCTCTGGCCTCGGCCCTTCGCAGTGTCACCTGCCCTCTTCCCTCACCTGGGATCCAACCTTAGGCTCACACAGTCGGCAAACCTCCCTTCCTTAATCGCTGCTCTATCCTCAAAGTCCTGTGGGACTCTAAATGAGCTATTGCCTCTGTCTTGAGGAACTTAGAGGCCTCCAGGAGGGACTGGACATGTGACCACATGACCAAGGCTACGGAGGGGGGACAACAGTGCCCCAGGGGCTCAGGCAAAGAGCAAAGGGCAGCTGGCATTTGGGCCAACCTTGTGCATCATTCCAGAGGCCCTCACCTCCTGCATCAGCTGCGCTCCTGAGTGTGAGGACCAGCTCTGCTCAGGGGAGTGACAGGCAAAGCCGGCCTCTAGGGACAAGCATGTGCCCTCAGCTGCAGTGGGCAGCCCTTCCCGTCACCCATAGGCACCACCGCACCTCCCGCCTGCTCTCTGAAACCAGAATCACCAGCTTATGCTCTCCCAAGATCTACTCTTCTCTGCCTCGAAAGCCAGTCCTGATAGCCTGCCCACAGAAGCCTATCTCCCATACTCCTTGCCTGGGTCTGACCCTCAGACAAGGTCTAGCCTGAGATGCTGGGGTGGGGTGGGTGGGTGGGAGGGCTTACTCACAGCGATGGAGACGGCACTGATGACAGCTCCTAGGTAGCCCTGGATGAACTTGGATGCAGGTGAAGGCTGGAAGACAAGAGACAGAAGTTCAGGCCCACTGGGTGCCCACACTTTGCCCTTGCCAATAGTCCCAGCCAGCAAGGGGCATTCCTGCCTCCAAGACAGGAGGGTCGGGTGAGAAGGAAGAGGACCCTCTGGAAGCCAGAAGGACCCCAGCCACCCCCAGTGCAGTTCTAAATATGGAAATACGAGGCAGCAACGTCCAGGGGGATGCCAAAGGGCCCCCTGCACTCTGCCCTGTCCTAACAAGGTCACTGGCAGGCACTGCTGGCAGGAGGTAGAGAACAGCAAGGGTCAAATGGGTCACTCATGGCTGGGCAAGCAGAACCCATTTAGGAAGACCACATGGTGTGAGCGGGCTCTCTGGCCCTGCCGCACTTCCTGGCTAGACATGGCGGGGTCAGGGCTGGCTCCAGCCTGGCTGGTGCTCACAGGCTTTGACGACCCAGGTAGCAGCTGTGCTTCCAGGCAATAGATGACAGTTGCTCAATATTTCTATGGAAAAATGCACCTCAAATTGCAATGCAGAAAAATAGGGAAGAGCTGAAGAACTTGCCTTTATATACCACAATGGGAGATGCTTGGTTTAAAGTAAATGGGAGCTGAACAAGCAGAGATGTACGTGTGTGAAGCATATGAGCGCGACATGGACTGAAGGCTTAGATGGGGAGAGTGTGTGTATTCAAGATATTAGGCCCCAAAGTATTACCCCCTCAGGCCAGCACACACCCTCTCCTACCCAAACTGACAGCCCACCCCCCCTAAGGGGACCAAGACCCCACCTCCCCTCTTCCTGACTTTGGACCGAAGACCGAGAGAACTGACAGGGGGAAAGGCAGCCTCGCCAGTGCAGCAAGGCCCAGCCCCTTCCTGATAGCAGAAGGGTGACTGGGCCTCCATGGTGAGTTAGCCCCAGAAGGGCAGGAGGGGAGAAGGTGACAGTCCCTGCAGACCCAGCACCCCTCGCCCTCTGTAGCCAATAGTCTGGGAGCAGCGAGGCAGCTTCCAGGGAAGCTTGAGAAAGCTGTAGGGAAATTCGGTTCCCTCTGGCTGAGGCTGTCTAGGTCCAACATCCGTATAAGAGCCGCCCACAGAGAATTCTGGAGCCAGTGGAGCTGATCCCTGTCGCTGCCCCCCACTCCCATGTTACAGGCCTTCTTCACGTCACGTGGACAGCCCCTCCCAGCAGTGTAAATAAGGTGCCTACAGGAGGGCAGTGCTTAGCCAAACGAGTGGCGTGACGCACTGCAGGGAGGATGAAGGGCGCCCCAGCCTCAAGCCCACCTCTGGAGGGTGGTCCCTGGCGCTCACCTTGGTAGCGTTGCGGTTTGCATAGTTGACACAAGCGTTGTGGCTCTGGTTCAGCCACTGAAAGGCAAGCGGGGAGAGGAGAAGTCAAGGAAGGTGTGCTCACCTCCCTGGAAGCCAGGCCAGGGCCCTGGGAGGCCACACACCTTCAGAAAGACCTGAGTCGCTAGCTCATGGTGGGTCCATCCATCCCACTATTAACATGACCAACTATCCACTTTGCCCGGGACTGTGCCAGGTTTAGCACTGAACGTCCGCAGCCTTGGGACACCCCCCAGCTCCTGGCAAACCAGGACACTGGTTCTGCCCACCCCGGCAGTCCAACTTGCTCCAGAGACAGTGCCTTTTCCAAAATCATGCCCTTAATGGATCCCCTGCCTTTGCCTCGTCCTCCTTATTACATTACTTACTGGACAGAGGCAGACATTTAGGCCCCTGGAATGACTGACAGCCCTGAATCTCTTTCAAAAACATCCCAGCCCCCTGTCTTGCACCACCTGCCGTGCCCAGACACCAGCACGGTTGGAATTGTGCTCAGGGAAGACTGACATTCTCTCCTGAAGACTGACAGGTTTTCTTCCTTCCCCTCTTTCTCTGCAGACAGACACACACACACACACACACACACACACACACACACACACAGCTTCAACTACTGTCAGAGAGCCACACCCAGACGCTCTTCAAGAGCAGAGACCAGGGTCTGTGATGCCTTGTCACCCAGCTCACTACCTTGGGGTTGGGGTGCATTTACCTTCCCCACAGATTTGGGTGAGGCTGATGTCAAAGAGGCTGTGGGTCTCGAGGTCACTGGCCATGGGACAAGCAACCGAGGGACAGAGTGGGCGGTCACCAAGCAGCCATCCAGTTAAGGGCACCAGCCCAGCCCTCGTCCCCTTCTTGCAAAGGAGAAAGAAGACCTGGGCTTCTCCCAGTAGCTTCTGGGTTGGTGAGAGGTACGAAATGGGGTGATTTCTCCAAGGGGCATGGATGGGAGAGGAGACGCTGAGGCCAGGAGTTCTAACCAGTACCTGTTGGGCCCTCCCTCAGGAGACTGTTTGCCAGGAGGCTGTTACCTGCCAGAAGACCGTGGATGCCAGTGTCTGGTTGGGCAAAAGGAGACCGACCACCTGAGAGAAAGAGAGAGAGAAGAAAGGCTGAAAAAGGCAAAAGAAACACCCTACACTTTTGCAAATAAAAATTAAACAGCCACGAATAAGAGCAAGCTGAATCTGCACAGACTGATATGGACGATGTGTTCATACAACCTGCTGCCCGTAGCGAGACTGTGCATGATGAAAAAAACCCAAGCTGTAGCATCGTATTACAGCACAGTCCCATTTTTTTTTTAAAGAAAAACATCTTATATAAAACCATATACACAAACACACATACATATCTCTAAGCATGAAGAAAAGCTGTAGCACAGCATGTAGGTCTGGTTACATAGGACTTCCTCACATTCTTCTTGAATATTTCTGCATTCTTTTTAACAGCTGACAGGCATTCTGTTCATAATTGTGGGCAGGGGAACAATAAAACAAACAAGCAAACTAAACACCATCACTTCTGCCCAGCGTACCCAGCTCCTCCACACTCCAGCCACCCAGCAGGATTTTGTGAGGATTCAATAGAACTCATTTCAAAGGCCTTACATGCTTTACAAATACAAGCTGGTGGAATTTATATGTTATCACTGGGCCCTCATGAAGCAAAACCTACACCATGTTTAAGCTATTGAACGAAACATGGATGTCTAATAAATATTTGTTGAATGAATGAATGAGCCATAGAGCTAAGCATGGCTACATATGTGTGGATCCACTATTCCCAAAGCCCAAATATCACTGAAGACCCAGACTCACTGACTTTGGTGTTTTGTTATTTTTTTGGTTTGGTTTGGTTTTAAGTCAAGATTAATTGTCTGATTTTAACACTGGCCAAACCTTGGACTTCAGGGATCCACATGTCTCTGAAGTTTACCTTTTGGGTGCTTGTGTGCAAAATAACACCTACCCAGTTCTGCTGCATATGGGAAAAAATGTGCACAACCATCCACATATTGACTTATTTATTATTCCTGTAGATAAAATGGCTCTTTGGCAAGAACTGTAAGGAACGAGTATAAACACTCAATCCTATGCAGTAAATCAAATTCTAGACATCCTCAGCAACATTAGTAAATCATGTTTTAAAGATTAAAATGTTTTTAAAACAGTGAATATGCACATACATTTATATTTATTGGCCCATATCAGTTTGAATAAAATTATACAATGTAAAGGCATTCCATAGCTCCAGTGAGAAATTATGATGATATTTTTCTCCCCAAAATGAGATGGTAACTCCATTTTTCTTTGCCATGGCAGCTTGCAGGTACTGGAGTGGGAAACAGGAGACCTGGGTTCTCACCCCAGTTCCGTCCCTGTGTGATCTCCAGCATAAAACAGTCCCCTTTGGGGTTCCACCTTTCTTACCTATAGGGTGAAGGGGTTGACCTTGGGGGTCCTATCTTGGTTTAAACTCTATTCTCATTTTCCAAATAATACACATAAAGTCAGTAGAGGTAGCCCCACCCCAACCCAATTGAGAGGTATCATGGGGAACACAGGACCTCCTTCTAGTCGGACCCCAGTCAGGAGCCAGACCATAGAGGGGAAGCTGAGGCATGAAGCTGGGAACAGACAGCATGAGCCAGCAAATGTGTGTCTGTAAGTAGTTCTTCCCTGTTGGGGGGATATCATTCCCCGTAATCTGCTGGTTTCTATTACGTGGGTGTGTTATGAACGTCATTGCCTTCTTTCCCTCAATCCCCATTGCACCCCCTGAACTGTGCTTGGCCACCAGGAGAGGGTACGATGCAGCCCCATGGGACTCACTGTTGGTACCACACAGCTGCTGTCCAGGACCCTTGCAGCTCGTTACATCAGGGGGAACCCTTATGAGTCCTCTCCCCTGGATTCAGAAATCGTACTGGTTCAGAAATGCATCTGGTTTGCATTGGCCTTGCAGACACGGGGCATTTTTAACTGTGCTTCCCTTTGCCCTGACTGTCGAGGTCAGGCCAGATCTCCAGGGCCCACCTCTGCCCCGTGTACACATCCTCATGGCACATATTTTGTGTCCAAACTCCACTCCTGACTTCATCTTCCCTTCCCTTCCTAAATTTCCTTTTGTCTCATTTTCATCTTCATTTGTTCATCTTGTGCCATGTATTTTTAAAATCTGATATCAAGTCTTTTCCAGAACAAACCACAGCCCTAAACTAAACCAGTACCCAGGCTATGTACTACACACACGCACACGGCTTGTAACCGGTCAGGTTTTCACCTTGCTGGCCCACCTTCTGCCTCACACGAGCCTGACGTCCATGCACCTTGACTCCCTATGCTTTCTGAAGGAGATGGATGGGTTTTGCTAAGCATTTCCCCTTATGTCACTTACCATGGTCCTTATTATAACTCTGGGGCTCAGAAAAAAATAGAAATTACTTTCTGCATTTTGCAAATGGGATAACTGAGGATGAGAGACATTTGGTGACCTGCCCAAGGCTTCATAGCTCCTAGAAAAAGAGGCAGGTCTTGCCCTAACCGGGTTGGCTCAGTGGATAGAGCGTCAGCCTGCGGACTGAAGGGTCCCAGGTTCGATTTCGGTCAAGAGCATGTACCTTGGTTGCGGGCACATCATCAGTAGAGGGTGTGCAGGAGGCAGCTGATCGATGTTGTTTCTCTCTCATCGATGTTTCTAACTCTCTATCCCTCTCCCTTCCTCTCTGTAAAAAAAAAAAAAAATCAATAAAATATATATATACATATATATATATATATATATATATATATTTTTTTTTTTTTTTTAAAGAGGCATGTCTCCTGATTCCTGGCCTGGGAGCCCCATATCTCTGATTTGAGGGGCTCCTTCTCCAGCTCTTCTCCTTGCACACAAAGGAAGAAGCAGACTCCATGCCTGTTTTTGAGCATCTTCTGTGCACCACGTTCCCTGCTGCCTCCTGAGGAAAGAAATACAGCCTCCCTAACCACAACAAACCAAAAACCAACAGCAAAGTGCATGAGAAAGTCTTTACACCACATGGTCAGGAAAGGGACACGGTGGTTTAATCGGGCACTTAATTGTGTCTGTAAATCTGATAAATTCTAATGTCCACACAGGGGTTCGGGCAGGGAGAGGTGGGTGGGCTCCGGCTCTCTCCGGCGGAGGCGGTAAGGTGGCGCTGAGGTGTGCCTGTGTGAGCTCAGGGTAGCGGAACAGCTGAGACTGACCTCATTTAAGGAGGAGGCTTGGGAAGTCAGCTGACTGGAGTCCAGGAAGGGTGAGGTTAGAAGGCAGCGGAGCGCCATGCTGCATTGGCCAGCCCGACAGCCGAAGGGGGCCGTTTGAGCCCAGGCGAAGGGAATAGGGACCCCACCCTCCAGGCCCTGCAGTCAGGCTGGTGGGGCCAGGAGCACGCGGTGCCAGCCCCATTCCCTATTAGGCAACACGCAGCACCATCTGCACAATCCCAGGAGCAAGAGCAGATATTTTATAACTTCCTTTTTTCTTTTTAAGTCTAAATTAAAAATAAATGTTCCTTCAGCTCTCAGATGTATATCTCTGGTGCAACCTGCCCACATTCCCTCACGCTGCCCTTTCCAGAACATGGCAGGGGAAAGGAGGAAAGAGATGGATGGAGAGAGGGAGCCAGTCCACCCGGCTTCAATGCCAGGGGATTGCACCTCTTCCAAGAGGGAAACGCTTCAGGCGTGGCCGCGCAGATGGGTGGAGAGAGCCCAGAATGCGGCTGGTACCAGGGAAAGTGGAAGGAGAGCCAACAGCCAGAATTTCCAGCCCAGCCTCCACCCTGTCTTGCCGCAGGACCTTGGCCAAATCGCACATCCTATCTTTGCTCCCATTTATAGTTCATAACATGGCTGGGGTCTCCTCCACAGCACCCACCCCCTGGGAACTGCCCCCTATGCACAGTTGTCCATTTCTGCCACCCCCTTCCCCTTGGACGGCTGGCCATGGGCCCTGGTGATGAACTCTCAGGCTCTGGCTGCGGGAAGAGCTGGACTCAAATCCTGGTTCCAGTATTTATCAGAAGGGCAACCACATGCAAGTTACTTGAGTCCGTTGTGCCTCTGTTTTTTTCACCGGTTACGTGGTGATCACGGCTCCTCTCCGGATGTCATGGGAGCAGGCGTGGGAAGCACTCGGCACAGTGACTGCCATTCAGCCCGTGCTTACCACCAGGTTAGCATGATCCTCTCCTCCTATCTCATTCTTTTCCCGTCTTTGCCCGTCTCTCTTTTCTCTGAACTCCAGTCTGCTTGACACAATTGGGCATCATCTTGCCCCATCTTATCTTTGGACACCAGCCTTATCTTTCAGTGGGTCAGGAGCTCCTGAGGGTAGACTACGGGCTTTTCTCCCTGATGTCCCCCCAAGCACTCAGCACAAAGATGGGCCCAAATGACATGCTGGAAACATTGCCAACTGATTCAGAACATTAAACAATTATTGGCCAGGAAAAGATGGATGATGGATCGTGACAATGACAACCACCAGCCATCCCTTCCTTGCCCCTTTTATTAAAGTTTGGATTGCATGGGGGCTGGGGGAGGGGGTAGCCTTTGGAGAGAGGATGCAGACTGAGTTTGGTTCTGAGTCTTCACGCTTCCCTGTATCTATGCCCTGGCCATGGGAGGGATGTATTTCCCTGCTCTTGGTGTGGCTTAGTCACGTGACTTGCTTTGGCCAATGGCGTGTGGGAGGAGGTGGCAGTGTGCCAGTTCTAAGCCAGGCCCCAGAAGCCTCGTGTGCTTCAGTCGCCCTCTGGTGCTTCTAACGCCGCTGCGGGGAGACGTGCCCTAACTGGTGCCCGGTCCGAGGAGGATGCAACGTGAGGAGCAGAGTCCAGCCTGGGTCACTGATCCCCAGCCGATCCCAGGCCTGTGGTTATAGCAGCAGAACTGCCTCAGTCAAGCCCAGTCTAGACCAGCCAAACCCCAGATCCCTAACAACAAATGTGTACGACTGCCACTAACGTTCTGTGGCTGTGTGTTATGTGGCACTATCGTAGCAAAATCTCGTTAATACAGAGATGACCATACAGGAAGAGTGAATGTGCTGTCCT